TTGGGCTCGAGGCCCGAAGTCCGGCCCGGCCCAGCTCGAAAAATAGCGGATTTTGGATCGAAGTTTCTTGACTCGAAAAAAATCGGGTTTTTGGGTCGGGCTCAAATCGGGCTTCGGGCTCAAATCGGCCCGGCCCGAAAACCCGAAAATTTAAAAAAAAAAAGAAAAAAAATAACATTTACAAAGAAAATCCGCGGGCCGGCACAGCCCGACCCGAGTCCGGAGTGCATAGGGTCAGGTTTCGGATTTAAGTATACAGGCCCAAAAAAATCGGGCCGGCTCGAGCCCGAGCCCGAAACTTTCGGGCCGAATGCGGGCTCGGGCTAGGTCGGGTCGGGCCAGCCCGATTGACACCCCTAAATGGAACCACTAGTTCCTCCTCTTTATGATAAGGAAAAATCTCAAAAAATTATTGAATTTGGAGATAACTGACAGATAAATACTAAATTTTTTCGACTTCCAAATAAAACATGAACTTGTAGATTCTCCTACAGTTAATACTGATCTTTTGAATTTTTACCAAATATCCGATCGATCGTAAACGGCGTTAAAATCAATAACGGAATGTATGACGTGGAGGCCAATTATTGCCACGTATGATAGCACGTAAAATGACATGTCAGAATAAAAAGTTGACGGGTTAACATATATCGGATCGGACCAGTTTAAAAAAATACCGGTCCAAAAGAGATTTTAATGTTAGGGTTTCAGTTTCAACCCCAGAAATCGCGAACGATTCTCTCTCCCCCTTCTCTCTCTTTGTCTCTCTCTATCAGACCGATTCACCGTCGAGAAGAACACAACGAGGGAGGGAACGAAGAATTCAATACGTTAGAGCTTATAATATCCAAGTATTATCTGAATTTTCAAATGAAAACCCTTGCAATGATGGTCGTTTTGAAGCTCTGTTCGAGAGGATTTGAAAAATCTGTAAAGACTAGGGTTTCAGATTTTGTTGTTGTTAAAAGGATATAAAAGGTTTCATTTTGAGCTAGAGTGTTTGTAGTAGTGTTCAATCCGAGATTTTGGTGTTGATTGTCCGAGATTTTGGTTTGATTTTAGTTTTGGTCTGTCAAAATTGATATCGGTTAAAAATCGATGAAAAATAAGTTGAGTAATGTTTGTTACCGATGAGTCACATGTGAGAGGGTGGTAGAAGTAGTTCTTGTTCCAATGCAAGGTCAAGTTGGAGATCGGGTCATGAGCCAGATCGGGTCAAAGGTGTACTTCAACATTGTCAATGTGGAAGCAATATTGTAATGTGGATATCAAGAACATACAACAACTCGGGAAGAGTTTCCTTGCGTTGTGCTAAATACAGGTTAGAATTATATTTTGAAACAAATTATTGTAGTGTATAGTTTTGATGTATGATGTTGTTTGTGTCTGCTGGGGCAACTATGAGCATGTGTTCAAATGGGTTGATGAGGCCATGGTGGAAAAAACGGAGATCTTACGTGAACACATTGAAAAACTCGAGTTCGAGAATGAAAATCAGAAAAAGAGCTGCAAATGTACAAAATGGAGCTGCAAACAACAAGATTGAGTTGCAAAACAACAACATTGAACTCCAAAAATACATAGCTTCTGCCAAATCGTATAAAGATTTTATGAACAAATTGATTGCAGTTTTTGTTTTAGTTTGTATTGTTAGCTACTACCATATATTATTGAAGTAGTAGTAGTTGTAGTTATTAGTTTGTGTTGTAGAAGAAAATTGATAAATATGTGATGCGTTTGTTTTGAAGAGAACAAATGTTGTGAATACGTAATATGGTTGTTTCGTAGAATATGTGATGTGGTTGTTTTGGATGAGATGATATTGTGGTATACATAACAGATAAATAACCAGAAAAGTAGTTTAATTAAGATTCAACAATTGTCAACAGAGAAACATGAAGTTTGGATTTAGGATTAGCCAAAATACATGAAGTCTGCATAATCTAGTGAACATATACCAACATAAACCTGCTGAAGTATGCTCGACCATAACAAAAAAAAGACATAACCATGACCAAAAAAACGGTTCGAGCAAATCACATGATAGCAAAAAAGAAGCACACATGACTATGTTGGTTTGTCGGGTCTTGATTACTTCCATGAGACTTGGAAGGCTGTGTTGGTAAGTGTTATTCTCAGGCCGAGTTACGGTGTACGCGTATTGCACAGTCTGACTTCTTTGTGTTGGTTGAATTGGGTTTAGGGTACCTGTAACATATATCAATTTCACTATGAGTAATCGGTGAGAACACAAAACTATTAAAGGAGTACACATATCTGAATTTTGTGATGTATTATTTGTCTGTGTTGCCTGAACCTGAACTCTTTCATTTTGAAGTTGAACCCTTTGATTATGAACTTGAACCCTTGGATTCTGAACTTGATTCCTTGGATTCTGAACTTGATTCCTTGGATGCAATGCACCTTGCCTTGAAACATTTACTGATTGTGATACTCTGTCATGTTGAATGTCAGAGGTCTTATAAGATGAGTTCCGTCTAAGAACATCACAAAATAACTCAACAATATGCCTCATCGAAACTATATATGCATGATCTTTTGCAATAGGGTAAAACCCCTAAAAAATCTCCAACTTGTAAAAATATATACAAATAAACCTTCAACTTGAAAAACTGTCATTCAATCCCCGAACTTGTAACTTGTCACTGAATAAAACCTCGAACTTGCAAATTATTATTCTAATAAACATTTGACCAGTTTGACCACAATTTCAAACGATCAGAAATCCACATATTGACGGATTGCTGATGTCATTTTTTAAATTAAAATTGATAACGTGTATAAGGTGGCATCAGCAATCCGTTAATACGTAGATTTCCGATCGCCTGAAATTGTGGTCAAACCGGTCAAAGGTTTATTAGAGCAATAATTTGCAAGTTCGAGGTTTTATTCAGTGACAAGTTACAAGTTCGGGGATTGAATGATAGTTTTTCAAGTTGAAGGTTTATTTGTATATATTTTTGCAAGTTGGAGGTTTTTTAGGGGTTTTACCCTTTTCAATATGACTGTGATGTGGATAAAACACTTTTACCATCCATTTATTCATAGAGCTTTCCAATGAAGCATAAATTCTCCAAGGACATTCTTCTGTCTTACATATAACTCATGATCTAGTTTCACTCCAACACGATATCTTAATATTGTGTTGAGTTGTCAACACATACCTCAATATCTCTTTTTTAAACTCCTTTCCACAATTAAAAGTCTGACCCAAGAAAAAAACTCTTTATCTCAGGGCACTGTTTGTCTTGTTGATTTCTTTTGTCGCATCACTCTCTCATAATCCTTCCATTCTTCTTCGGTATTTTGTGGAGTAGGGGGAAAGATGTCATCATTGTCTACAAATTCATTATCACTCTCATCTTCATTCTCAACCGCTGCAGCTTGACTTTTTCTTCTAGACTTAAACTGAACTTGAAACCTGTTATCTCCCTCACCCTTATTTCCCTCAGACTTAGTGTTGTCATTTTTCTCACACTCATCATGAGCGTTGTCATCCGCCCCTTTACTGCTTGCTGCTCAGTTTTCTCACACTCATCATGAGCGTTGTCATCCGCCCCTTTACTTGTCTACTCCTCATTTCTCTCACACTCATCCTCATCATTCCTATCAATCCCCTTGTCTAACCCTCATCTCTAACCTCGGGTGTTCCACTCATGATCTATATAAATATCTACTTCTCCACACTCATCTACAAGTTCACACATACCTCTAATTTTCCAATCTACATCCTCTTTGATTGGTTTTTTCTCAACCAATGTCTGATAGTGGTAATTTATACCACATTTCATAAATTGGTGCACTGATTTTGTTCTCCTTAACAAAATCTTCAAACACAAACCATCAAAGGTAATCAGAGTCCATTTCTATACCTTACATGACAATGCCATCCAAATATACCCAATCTCCATTCATATGTAACATAGATCTTTCTATATGTATGTTCAACTTAACTATCACGCAACAAATTGTTAATCTTCAGAAAATCCTAACAAATAACAACATCCTAAACACAGAGATTCTCGATGTGAATAAAAAATTTACCCCATTAAGCCGAACACTTTTCAATCTGTCTAACTTGAAAAAAAAACAAATACATTTTGTCATTTTGGGGTTAAACTGTTTCGGATTTGTCGAACTAGAAATATTTTAGGGTTTTAGAATTTGGGAGTTTTCGAAATACATGTGCTTTTCGGTTTTCAGGATGTGAAATCTTGGTGAATAGAGTTTATTTGGACAGCGACAACAATTTCGGGTTTGAAATCAAAATCAAAAAACAAAGAGAGAGAGAGGAAGAGAGAGTTTAGAAATTCTCACATCAGTTTCATTCCATACGTCAACGACAGTAGATGTCGCCGTCTTCAAGTCGCCGACACGATTGACGGAGGAGCTTCGACATAGGTACGTCGACGGAGATCCTTCGACAGAGAGAGAGAGAATGGGGAGAGAATCGTTCGCGATTTCTAGGTTAAAATTGAAACCTAACATTAAAATTTCTTTGAACCGGTATTTTATTAAACCGGTCCGATCTGGTATATATTAACCCGTCGATTTTTATTTTGTAATTTTTCGTTCTAACTTGTCATCTTACGTGTGATCATACGTGGTAATAATTGGGCTCCACATCATGCATTCTTTTATTGACTTTAACGCTGTTTATGATCGATCAGATATTTGGCAAAAATTCAAAAGATCAGTATTAACTGTGGGAAGATCTACAAGTTCATGTTTTATTTGGAAGTCGAAAAAGTTCAGTATTGTGTGAGCTATCTCCAAATTCAGTAATTTTTTTAAATTTTATGTGAAAATAAATATTATTTGAGTAATTTCTTTATTTCATCCGACATACTAACCAAATGACCAAATTTCGGTGTTTTTATTTAATTTTCCATGCTTGTACCATCAAGTACAAAATTTGGAGATATTATATGGTTTCCAGAATTCTCGCAAACGACAAAAAAACCGTGGGGAAAAAAAACTAGTGTATAATTTCTGGAATATATAAAGGAAACGATCCATAATTAAAGTTACAAATAAATCAAAGACAAAAATTATGAAATTATAAAAACAAATGAAGAAAAACACAAATTAGACTATCACGATACGTTCAGTGGGTTTTTACCAGAGATTCTGATTTCTAAAACTCGACTACGAAATTAACAAAACATCATCATTATCATCACCATCAACCAAAGCAACAAACCCTAATTTGTTTTGATCTAAAATAAGAAACTCGAGCCCAAATTGTTAGAATGAACAAAAAAAAACACACAAAGGTGGAAACTTTTTTTTTTCTGAAAAAAAAACTCAGTAAGGCGGTGGAGCACGAGCGGTGGGAGCCCAAATTACATCAGAACCTCCCATGTGGCAACTGTACATCGGAATCCCACATGACGACTCTCCCCCACTCGCTGCCACGTGTCCCTCTCCACCCCCGC